CTATTATGTTATACTTATTATACTTATTACTTATAAATAATATCAATGCGTTATAATTTGTAGAAAATAACAATATAATATTCATAAAAGACCTGTCGAAAAAATTGTTAAGTGATTTCAGAGCTAAAATGCTATTGGAAAAAAATAACGATTGAGTCACTCACTCGTTGAACAGTTGTATTTTACAGGTGTCAAGAGTGCTTTATTATTACATTGGTGACAGCTATAATTGATCAAATGGATGTGTTAAATTTGAATTCGACGATAAATCGTTGTATGTAAAAAACATAGATGATTTTTCGGCTTATATTTTCAAAGGATATTGTATGATAAATTTAAATTTCTATAAATAATCTATTTTTATTTTTAGTAACACTGAATAAATTGAACTAATTTTTACCCAAAATAAATCACATGTATTAATAGCTGTTATTGGCTTAGTTTAAAATTATTTTTCCTATCTTTCTTTAGTTTTTTGCTTTAGTTGATCCATTTTATTTTAAATATATGTCATATAATACATATACTGCAATTAAAATGATTGATTGTATAATCTTTCACTTTTTTATTTGATTCATACTTTTAATGTAAACACAAAAAAGCTGAAGACAAATCAACAATTTTTTTAAATCTAACTTAAATTGTATACCATTAAGATAAATATTTTTTTTTCAATTTGTGTTTAAATTGAAAATATGTCTAGAATTTAAAAAGAAATTCATAAAAGTAATCGTTGTAATTGTATTCATAAGCATTTGTTTTAAATTATTATTATTTTTTTAAATACATGAATATATTTAAAAAATAATTTATGCCACGTATTTTTTACTCATTTTAATATATTAATAAATAGTAAGATAATCTATAGCTACTGATAACTATTTAAATAAATAAAAAATTATTTAACTTTCGTGAACCAAAACTAAGTTCATATGTAAATGTAAGTTAATATAACATCCAATAGGGGCTAAAAACATAAAATATAAACAAACTCAAAGTCTCAAAATATTTGTCGATGCAACTTTTGTTAAAAAACGGTCCAATAGTTTTTGAATTTAAATAGATAACAATTCAACAACTGATATATTTATATTGTGTTTTCATAATATTGTTTGATATAGTATTACTTATAATTTAAACATTAGTACTTATTCGTTATAGAACGGTGTGAATAAGTTCATGGTATAAATAATTTAAAATTTAGATAAATATTTTGAAATTTTCATTGTATATAGAAAACGATAACTTAAGTCATAGTGGAATGTCTTATATTTCTACAGTTAATGTTTTTTGAATAATAACAAAAATTGTTGTAAACGTTTGAATATCCAATATCACTTAATTGGAGCGTCAATATCTCATAAAAAATTGATGTAAAATAATAAAAACTTCCATCAAATATATAGGTACATAAGACGTTTAAAGAAATTTGATCACATTTTCTCCGAACTTTATATTAATAATCTTGTATATTTTAATATCTTTCTTATAATTTTAATAAAGTATAAAAAATAAGTAAGGAAAGATCACTCTACTAGATATAATTTCATATAACACCTTTATATTTTAATATTGCCTATCGATTTTTGTAAATTGTATGTTTCACTTCATTGAACTACGTGACAGAAGGTTTGTTGACCTTGAAATTATCACGTTAAAGGGTTTCTTGAAGTCTTAGGCTATCAATTATATACCGATAAATACGATTGAAAATACGCTGAAAAATATCATAAATACATTAGAATGTTTATGTACATGACATTGACATAGTTATATACCTATTCACATTTTGAGGGGATGAGTTTAATCCCCGACGATTATTTTTCAAGGTTAGCCATTGGCAGTTAGTTAAACTTAATAGTATTTTTTAAATATTGTATGATTATAATATAAAATCGGTTCTATAATTAAGTTTTTTTTTTTTTTTTGTTTGGAACTTCCTAGCCGACTCAATTTCAAATGATGATGGATAACTGTTGGGCGGTAGGTATAGTATTATATTACAAAGTGTAAAACATGTTCTTAAAAATACATAGAAATATTATATAAGCCAAATAAAAAATACTAAGGCTATTAGTATAGTACGCAGCACAGTTCTTTGTTACGGCAGTAACTCTCTGTCAGGATACCATTATGTTATGGAAATAAAAACATAATTATACAACTTGTCTTCAATTCTTAAAACAAAAAATAATACATTATAATATTTTGCATTTATATCTGATAAACTAGAGTTGAAAGCATTTAATATCTTTTTCAAATATTAAATGTAAGAAGATGTTTTAACTTATAATAAATTAATAACTATATAAATGTGTGTATAAAATAATTCCTTTGTGTTTAAAATAATTGAAAGTTGCCTTATAATTTATAATTTTCTTAGCGTAATAAAAGCTTCTAATAAAAATAATAAATATATATATATATACATAATTTAAATTATAATTTGAGAGTGACCTGAAATTTAAAAAAAATTCCGATGGCTGAAAACCACTATGTTAGAGCAATATATTATATTTTAAATCTTCGTGGGCATTGGAATACGTGTAGGTATTTATGAATATTATTTCTTAGAAAAAGTATTTTTATATTTATGTATTATATAACTTATATATAGGTATGAAAATTATATAATTATAATAATAATAATAATAATAATAATAATACTATGTACTAAATTTAAACTCTCTAACAGGTTTTTAGTTTTAGATTCTGAGAATTACTTATCGTGATTCTTTACATTTGCAGATCCAATTTGAATCTTCGGTTTTTAAAACTTAATTTATTTTCCTTAATGTGAAATTCTATCCCCTAAACAATTTATTAAGACTTATGCATCGATTTATTTACCAAAAATCACTTTTAGCCGTCAAACAGCTGATGACAAAGCTATCATACTAATTGACAAACATGCTGTAACTGACTAAATGTCTGGCAATCATCTAAATTTGATGTATGAGCAATTTATAAATTGGCGTATTAAACATATTCAATGGAAGTCAGCTCACACAGCAATCACTCTTTATTTTATTTTTTTGTCCTGTTATCTCCTTAGATAACATTCCTAGTACTTTGTCTCAAACATTTTAGTGATACATTTTGAATTAAACTTAAATAAAGGTTTAATCTTTAATAATTGCCTTGATGTGGTCAGTATATACAACTGAATGAAGTCCAGCCAAGAAAATACTGTCAAAAGTGGTTGGAGTACTGTTATTTCTTGCAATTGGACTTTAAAATATTTACACCACTAGCTTCAACTCAGCTACTGTTGCTTCTACCTCCCAAATCTGGGGTCCAGATTTAAATGGATAAGGGGGTACATGTAACGATTGTCGTCTGTCGACATCGTACATTATTCCTTAAGTAGGGCACACGTTGTTAAAATACTGAGTGTGAGGAATGGCAAGCGGGGCCGACTGCTGACCTAAGGCTTTTAGGCAGCAGTCTAGGGTATATAACGATTACCAATACGGCAATACATATTATAGTAAATAGTATTATAGTGTGCGATGCGGAGCAGAACAGACGATAAGAAGACTCCTCAAACGATCCGTGCGGCCATCCTCAATCCACACTCACGGCTTGTCAAATCTACCTGGATCGGTAACCTACATTCTATTTATATAATTACAAATTATTTGTTAAAATATACATTACATTTATAACAACTGTGCTTTACATTAATAAGGTAACCCTGATCTCTAGTATATTAATATTACACACCGAAGTCGAATCCCCGAGACCTCGTTAATCAAAACATAACTCTATCGGTATGGCGACGCGAGATTGCTAGCCCAGGTAAAGAGGGGACGTTACACCCGTATACATACCGACTAACTAAGGCTTTAGATTTTCGTTTTCGTGGGCCATATAATATTCTCTTTGGCAAAAATTAAACATTCTAAGTTGAAAGTTAAAGTTGTTATTTTCTAAAACATTGTCAAATTATTATGGATAAATTGACTTTAAGACCAAAAAAAGTACTACCTATTAAAATTCACAAATTAATAGTTCAAAATTTAAAAAATATTGTCCTCAAAAAATTGTAAATGCCGCTCTCTTTAAGTATACATATTATAATTTATTACTCTAAGGATTTTAAAATAAAAAGTGATAAAAGAACCTAAGCAAACCTAAAAATAAAGTTTTCAAGACCACATTAAACAATTAATTAAATATTTTTACAAAAAGTACATAAAAAACAGTAAATACAGAATGTAATAAAATAAGCCTAGCTTATGTTACTAATGGGTGGTTTTTTATTCAAGTTAACTATACGTGTAATCATATAATATCATCACATAATATTATGAATATTGCGCAAATTGTGTTTTCAAAAAAAATAATATATAATATGCTGAGTAGAACGATGTATGTATATTATTGCTTATGTGCTATAAACTACAACAGGTTTATTTTTACTTTTTTAGTAATTTTCATGTTGCAATTCTACAGTTGTGTTGTATTTTAGTTTGTTAATAGATAAATACAGGTTATTGGATTTTTTAGTATTAGAAAATAGTAAAAACAAAAAACGACAAATAATAGCAGACATTGTAAAGTCATGTCTCAAGTGCCAAAAATATTTAGTTGAATCAAGCTCAGATCAGATTTGTTTTTCAAATGCTGTGATTTTTTTTATCATTAAAGAAATTATTTTATTTCTTAGTTTAAAACAAGAATGAAATATTCAAAAACGTCTAGTCCTTAGGTCTTTATAATATTGAATGGATTATATGTAATTTTATACATGTGTATTAAACATTTGAACATACATACATTTCCAATATAAAATAATATGTTTATTAAATAAGTTTAAAATCAATATTTATTCAAAAAAAGTGTGTGTGACGTGCTTAAATAATTATTCACATATAATATTAATTAGGATTGGTAAAAGTATTTATACTTTTTTTTATAATTATTAAAAATAATATTAATATAATACTTAATTTGTAAACAAACTTTATAATAATAATAACGATGTAGTACTTAAATAAAAACACAAATAATAATCATAATGATTATAATAACAATAATTACTGGTAAATATCAAGACGAAAATAAATCTCATCATTAAAATACCTTTTAAGTAAAAAAAAAAAAAATTGTATTTGTACACTAACGAACAGATTTGGTTTATATAATATGATATAGAAAATAGGATTTTCGGCGCACGGTTTTTACTAATCCGATGATAGTAACTCTTGTTCCAAATTTGAGGGGGTTTTTGTACTATTACCCGATTCGAATCCACCATCGTTACTCGATGCATAGTCATTTTCGGCTTGATCGGGATCGTCAAAACTGAAACGTATACCACAATAAAAATCAATTATCGCACGCTATTTTCATTCAAACGAGTATAATACTGTAAACTATACAATAATTAATTCCCTACTAATGCATTATACAATATTTATTATCATTTACCAGATATTTAAGTCTAACACTCCTCATTTAAGTGTGTACACGCTTAACGTATTCACGTGAAATTAAAGTTCGATTTATAAGACCCGTTACTTAAAAGTTAAAACATTCTGTGAATTTATAAAATTAATCATGCATATGCGTGAATTTGTGTTTGGCCTTAACTTATACAATTCTCTATTTTTGTTTCTAGGAGAAGATCATTTTATTCATATCATAAATATAGATTTAATTAATTTAATTAACAATAACACAAAGTATAACTAGTTTAAGTATACTCAAAAATAAATTAAATAAGTCGCTAAATTATAAAATAAATCTTTAAATAAAATACGATAATATCTATTTTTGGTATAAATTATAAACAACACACATTTTCAGTTAATATCAATTAAAATCATTCATGTGATCAACGAATTCACATATTCACGTGATTATGACTCCGATACGTGTTCACTTGTGTTAGCATTTATTAATTCACGTATAGGTACTAACCATACGCGTTTTATACCCATATACCTACACATATGTTTGTATTCACTAAAAAAATAAGACCCCTAGTCTAAACACATATTTCTTAGTCGGTTATTTTTATTTTTATATTGTTTAAAATGTATGTATTATATCCGTACAGCCTTTTTTTAAAACTAAAATACATGATCACAGTAATAATTTGTAAGAATCAGATTTATAAGAAAAAAAGTTACAATAGGAGATAGACATAATAATATGAGTAAAAAGACAAAAAATAATAAATGATGAAGATGGTTACTTTTTTTTTTTTATAAATCTTATACAATATTTAATCATATTTATTTTTACCATAATTATTACTTATTTTACACCTGTATAGATAATAATATTCCAAAATAAAGTCATATTTTTTTAAAAAAATGAAAGAAAAACCTATATTTTATTTGAACATTCAATTATTATGAATCAAAATTATTATTGACTGATATAAATAATGCATTTTCTTTATTTTATCTCAATAATATGTAGATTGTAGGTACACCATTTTACTCGGTTACATGATTATTAAAAGATATAAATGATAAACTTTGAATTATTTAAACTAATTTAAAACAAAAATTTGATTAAACATGTTAAAAATGTAATATTATTACAATTTTATTATTGTTATTTATATAAGATAGTTAAGATACACAATTTTCTTACGTGAATGGTTTTTGCTCGCCTCTCATTTCACATATGACATTAGTCAATGCCATGATGTAGTTTTTTGCTAATGTCAATGTTTCCAACTTTGATAGTTTACGTCCCATTTTTACATGAGGCACAACTTCACGTAGTTTCTATAAAACAAAAATATAATTGTTATCAATGTAACACTATGTTGATTGCATATCACTGAACACAATTTATTAAATAATTATGGTTGATCATGATCATATATTTTCTTATTTAACCTTTATATCTTGCTGATATTTTAATATTAAAGGAACGCCACACCCGCACGTGTTATCTCCGTCTTACATACATAAAACAGCAAATTTTATGTTGTTAGCTTTAATATTAGAGTAAATTTATCTATTATCAAACTTAAAGGTAAGAATTTTATCTAAATCATCTCATATACTTTTATTGATATTTTAGTTTTATACTGAGCTACAACTATGTAAAATATTAAAACTTTAAAATACTTATAACTCACTTCAAAATTATAGTATTAATAAAAGTCTATGTTATGGCCTGGGTAAAATTCTTACCTTTAAGTTTGATAATAGATAAATTTACTTTAATATTAAAGCTAACATGAATATGTGTTATGTTAAATGTATGTAAGACAGAGATAACACATGCGGGTGTGGCATCCTTTTAATTAAACTTATTAGACGAACAACTATTTTAATAATCTATAGGAGTAAACAATTTTTACCACGAATTAAATCCTTGTTATTTAAATTTAAAAAAAAAAAAAAAATATTTTTTTACGATTTGTTAGGTCAGTACAACGTAATATTCTTATTTTTGTTTACTTAACTCCTTCAAACTATTGCATAGGCAAAAAATAGCACATCTTCACTTTAAGTAGTCAAACTACAATTTTGTGAACATCGAAAATATAACTATGTAATTGGAATGTCTAATATACTAATAACTAATATATTTTTATAAAACATCTATTATAAAAACTACACAACATACAATCACCTAATTTAGACATATTAAACGATACTTAATGGGTTTAATATTATCCAAATCGATTACATAGTTTGTATAATATAATAATAAAAAACTTTGAACGTATTACGCTTACCATAATTACATGATCAGTTACTCGATCCAAAATATAACTATTGATATGATGATGTAATTTAACAGTGTCGTCCTTAGAGACGTTTGGATATCTACTCAAAATGTCTGACGCTAAGTCATTATGATTTGAAAATCGTTACATGGTCTTGTATTTAAATATTATCATAGTCCCTGAGATTATTGGAAATTGATTGAAATTGGAGGCAATGACCCAGTTTGCTCTATTTAATTCAGTAACGCGAGTAATTAATTATATGTTTAACACACACTTCTTAAGGACATCAAATATAAGCTACAAACATGTGGTTTTGAGTTAAGTGTCTTCAAAATTGTTCTAAAGAAATCATTTATAGAATTCCAAATGGATGAAAATGATATATAATTAGTAAAATATAGTATAATAAGTAATAATAATATGTACTTAAAAATTGTGTTATAGCTAATTAAATTCCGTTAAAACGTAAATAAATATCTTTGGAGTTAATTTAATCAATAGTTTATTATAATGAGTTTTGTTCAGTTGAATTAAAAATTATAGTTATCCAAAATTAGCAAACAATTAGATTAGATAAAGTTCCAGTGTAATTGAATAAAAAATTAAATTGTTTAGTCAACTTAGTGTATTTTAGTGATATATAATAAGTATAATAAGTCTAAAGTAATTAATTAAAATAATTAATTATTTTCTTGTCAAACGATGTAAAGTAAATGTCGACATAATACAATTGAGAACGGCATTTTTAATACGCGATACGATTGGGAACGCTCAGCTTATGATTTTTTTTTTACCAAAGTCGGCATATTTAAAGATATATTTTATGGAACAATTAAAAAAAATATTTGGTACTTAACCAGATAAGTATTGAAAGTAAAATTTAAAATGCTTAAAGAAAAATTGTCGACTCCGGAAAATGGCCAAGTCGTTTTTAGATCTACCATTTTTTTTTTTTTTTTTATTGCTTGAAGAAGTCGAAAATTCGTTTTTACTCATTTTTAAAATTTATAAGATATTTATATATGTATACATGTATTTTTAAAAATATTTAACTATTATTATTATTACTTAGACTAGAGTTTGAAAAAAATTCCACCTGCTGAATTGTTTGATAATTTCCGACTAAACTATATGGCAACGTTGCACGAAAGTTCGCTCTTAATCCAATTCATTTTTAGACAAATTGGTTAGTTATTTATGAATATTAAGTGTTTTCCGTCATCAGCTCAAAAAAACATTATACGCTTTATCAATCAATCAATAATTCAAAATTTTATACAACAAACTCCAAATACCATTCTTCGGTATCTTCAGTTTCGATTCATAGCAAATGTTACTCGTATTAAACTGTGTCATTACGATAAAAGTATTAAAATGTTCGTTATTAAAGTGTTGTGTGACGTGTAGCTATACATCTGTAATAGCTATAAAAGTAAAATTACACGTTTTCGAATATTTGGTTAACGGTAGACAACATAAATGGGTCACACCGTCAGATGGTGAAGAATAATATGAATGCTTAAATATAAGTGTCTGTATGAAAAAAAACCCGAAAATAACCATATAATATTATTCGATTAAATATTTTTTGAAACTCGGATACATAATCGTATTTACTACACATCGTCGTAGTCCGCAACGTAAATTATATTATAAACAATATTACACGCGGTTAGGTTAATAATAATAATATGTAAGTGCAATGTTTTATTTTTCTACCAAGTTTCAAACGTAGATAATCAATTGCATGGCGTACGTCTATATAATATAATAACAATTTACGCGGGTCGGTAGTTATAACCTATGGTCTGCTTGCTATACCTCGAAAGCATCGTTTAATGAGTGCATGCGTAATCGTTCCCGCTCGTTGCTCTCCAGTCTTCGCATGTTTCGGTCTTTTGCCGATAACACTTCCACCGATTGCCTTTGCCGGATGCTTCTGCGACATTTTCTTGTTTTGGGTGCGATCGGTTCATCGCCGTCATCTTCGTCTATACTTGTCCGTCGTTTTCGCTTGCCCGGCACAGACCTTCGCGGTTTCTCGTCAGAACTCTCCGAATCGCCTATATACAACATACGACCATAAGTGCTTATAGTTTATTGAGGTTATATTATTATTGAGATATTAATATATTTATATATTTTATACTTTACACTAAATATATACATATATAGATAAATTATTCATACTAAAGAGGAAAAACTATTATATCATGCTCAAAAATGTATTGATAATATACACCGAATTTTTACCAATAACAGGTACTATAAAAATATAAAATAATTAAAACTCATTTCTACAGCGTACTTATTGAAATTATTGTGAATAAATCAAGGAGTAAAATATGGAGGTCATGGAAAAGAAGATTTCCGGAATGAAAACATTAAAATTTTATTGTCTGACTGTTGTGTGTTCAATTTAAAAATGCATACCAACATCACTTTTGAAACACATCAATTTTTCCAAAAGTCATAGGAAATTTTTCTAAATATCACTGTTAACTCATATTTAACCAATATTAGATCCGGGTATTCACATTAATAAGAATAAAATCAAAATCAATGCGATTTTGTTAAATAATGTATAAATCTACTGTTAGTTAGTCTTAATTGACACACTTTTAATATTTTCGTCGTCGTCTTCGGATACATTATTGTTGTCTGGGTGATAAAATGAACCATTTTCTGTGCTGGGTGATCTTGAGTGGTCAGTTGAAACTTCGAAAGATCGTCCACGAAGTTGAAGTCCGTCTAACATGTCTTCTTCTGATTGAAGATCACTACCCGGCATAGAAATTGAATTTCTGAAACATGGTTATTTCAACAGAAATTATAGTTGATATATTCAGTTTTAAGTTAAAAGTTATCAAATTCTTTTTGTATTAATCTAAAAATCTGCATTTTATATTCAAAATAACATAATATTACTTATTGGCTATTATATCTCAATAACAAGTAAGTAATACCTGAGTATTTAACAAAGTCTTCATAATTAATTTATTCGACTTGGAAATAATATATTCAAGTATATTTAAATACACATATATTTGGGTGTAGTTATTGTATTTATTAATCATAATATATTTATAGATAAACTATTTAAACCAATGATGAAGGTAAACTAATACTGATTCTTCAATATAAATAATACATACGAGTACATAATATTAATTAAAACATACAATCGTTTTTAAATTTTTACTTTTAATGGAAGTTATTCTTTTCCTGTATAATAACGAGTTATTGATAATACATAATATAAACTAGGTTTTGTCATGAATTTTTACATGCAATAACCTAAAATCTCCATTAATATTTTAAATATTAATGTATAATGTTTATGCACTAATATTCTAGTGATTCCTAATTTATTTTCTCTATTACCATTTACTTAATAAAAACAACTTCTTTTTTTCGATGTCAACATACTAGATAAACAGTAAATAGAAAAAATGTAAAAGTCGCTTAAAAAATATAAAATTTGATTATAATCATGCAATCTATATAATAATTTACTATATTTTTATTAGTAATTGTAAAAGATTAATAATCAGATATATCACTATCAATTTATTATTATATAATAATTAATTACACACAATTTACGATACAATGATTAATGTTCGAATTCAAAAACAAAATATTTTTGGAATATTTACCTGCTTTCTCTAATGCATTTCAATTGGTTGCATATTTTAAACACATTTAAAATCCCAAAGATATTTACACAAAAAAATGTTAATTCAAATTATGACAGAATAATATTTACTGCCTTATCGTAATATTGTCTTTATTTTTGTAGTTTGTGTGGATCGACTGGATCGTTTTAGTACCCAAATGTAGAATATCGAGCATTTTGGAAAACATCGATAATACAATTTTGTAATGTGACTTTAACTTCATCAATTAATACTAATCAACGAAAATTTACTAAAAGGTATAAAATTGTATTATTAATAACTACAAGTAATAATAATAATATTATCTAAATAGGATTAAATTCGTTTTGCAAGGCTCCAAATTACATCAATAATACATTCAAGGTTATGTATATTTTTTTAAAGTTAGGTATTTAATTACATTTAAATATTGAATCTTAGTAATAATAATTATACGAATAAAATAACACAAGTAAAACAATTAGTTTGTATGAACGACTAAGATAATTAAAAACAAGTTAAAAAAACAAATGCCCATCTTGAACTTTCACGTTTTAACATTAAATTTACTATATAATATTAATTACAAACAAAATACTTTAAGAAAAAATAAAACACAGTAAAAAGATGATTTATAATGATTTCGATTAAAAATAAAGTAAGTACCTACTAAAAATTAAATGTATGTGTTATTACATAAAAAACGATTAATGTAATATTGTAATTCTTATTAAATTTTTGTATCAAATATCAATTGTATTTGGATATTTGTGAATATTTCTTCGATCTTATTGAAAGAAGTAAGTATATCCTTGAATATAATATTTGTATGAAGTTCTTTTTTTGAAAAGTGTTGAACATTTTATTTAGAAAACAAAGCCTTTATTTGTACACATAATTATATTATGTATAAATTATATCATATCTAAACCAATATTTTTTTAAATATCTTCATGCCTAAATATTTTGCGATACAGACGAAATTTAAACAAAAAGTAATTTATTAATATTCCAAAAACGTATATTATTGTTAAGATACGGTTGTAGATATGACATGTTGAATATAAAATGAAAACACTTTAACACTCTAACAGTAGATAGATTTTTATACAATATTATCACATTATTTGGATACGTGTTTATCAACTTAAAATCAAAATACTGATAGTGACACAAGTTCATCAGTGTATAATGTTAATGCAACAGGTCAAAATTTAAAACACTTCGTATTAGTACTACATTTATATAGCCAACCTAAGATAAGTGTTAAGTTTTAAATAATCAAACTGTCTTATGCAAATTTTTTTTATTCAATCAAGACTTAAGACTTTTATTTCATATGTATTTTCATGTATTCACTATGATAATATTGTATACTACGATTAATGTTATAAAATTATGAACAATTAAATACAATGAACGTAAATATATAATGTATGAATGTATTATTGGTGTGTGGAAAACATATCTGGTTAAAAAGTGTCGATGGTCTAATTGGACTATTATATTATACACGCTGCGTTATACTAACAGTTTGCAATAAAATATGTGAGACGTGAAACAGATTGAAAAATAAAAAAATATATATTACGGAAATGATTTTTTTTTGCGATAGAACGTTTGATTTTTACGGTTTAGAAACGGTCTGGAAATGATTCGACCGATTTTGAACGCTTTCCCTTTAGAACCCATTCGAAGACGTCGAATCGACTAACCTAAAATCAAAAACCGACAGAAAATTGAGTTTTTTCTGTATAAACTAATGTTCACGTGTCGCTGAACACGTTTCTCAACGACTGAACTTGTTACAATATTGCTTAACTGCAATAAATAGTAATGACTAATGAAGAAAAAAACGGCAACGCACATTTCCATAAAATAAATTGAAATTTTTAATTTTCGTGAATAAATTCAAAAATATCTTAATATGCTTTCTAAATTATAATTAGTTATTTAATTGAAAACAATATTTTACCTATATAGATGTGTATTGGTACGAACAAAAATTAATAAATAAATAAAAATAACAATAACAATAAAGCATAAAAATATATGATAGAGTTAGAAAATTATCCATCACAGTCACGTAAAAATAATATTTAATATAAATATTCAAATAACCGTAGACATTATATAATTAATTTTGAACTTATATTATGATAAATTTAAAAAGGAAATACATAATTTAATAATGAAAAAAAAAATTCTACCTATTATTATTATTATTTTATTTTTAAACTTTATTTTTTTATAGAAACATTTAGGTAGGTATATTAAAAATATAATTATTGAATTGTATAATTATAATATAAATTAAGGTGGTAAATTGTATGAGAAAATATCAAAAACAATAGTACCTAGTACTGAGTAGATACTTACTTGAATACAAAAAACTGTTATCATCCAAAACGGTTATCACTGAAAAAACAATCATTGTTCACCAATACATTCCTCGGTTACGTAAAAATTAAAAAGATATATATTGTATAATGTATACATAATATATTTTATTTTAAAATTCAAATAATCTGATATATTTTAAATCGATTATGCACTATTTATATAACCACACAAGAACATAACATTAACACTATAAAATATTGTTATTTCGATCACGAATGAAGTTTGTAGGTAGGTATAATAGAAGCATACTACCTAATACACCTATTACTATTTAAAGATAAAATAATAAGTACGCATTGTATGTAAATACAAATTTATCGCTGAGTATATACAAGTCTAAATTTTGATAGCTGTAATAGTTCAACATACTTGTTATAGATAAAATGAAAAACGAGGGAGTAAGGTATAAACCTATTTAGAATTAAAATATTTAAAATTATAATGAATAACCACAAAATAAATAATGTTAATTATATTAGTTTAAACTAATACTGAAGATATAAATATTCATATACACTTGATTGAAACAAGTATAATACTTATAAGTAGGGCCCGGAACTTGATGATCTAAAAATATATGAAAAATGCATAAAATGACGTAAAAATATTTAAAAAATGACACGAAAAAATGATATTAAAAATGTATATTTTACTGTAAAAATTAATAAATAGGTATTGTTTTGATACAAAAAATTAAAATATTAAAATAATTTTTATTTAACTAAATAAAAATATGTATAAAAAATACTACTATTGCGATTATTCGGTATCATTAACCGCGATAACTGATTTTAAGCATATGGATGTCCCGGGCCTAAAATAATATCTGCCTACAGTTTATTTAAAACAAGCTAATGGAAACTGCATGTGTTACAATAAAATGTAACTTTCAACAAGAAAAATGCAAATATTTGTAAAAAAAAAGTACAAAAATGAATAAAATGCACTAAAAATACTAAAAAATGACCGTAAAGTATAAAATTTCCTAAAAATGCAAAAAATGCAAAATAAAAATTGTACCATTAAATTCTATACTTCATGAATCAAATTTCTGTATAGACATGTATTAAATGTGAGCATTAGAAAAAAAGATGCGAATGCATCAAGTTCCGGGTCTTACTTATAAGTTATAATAATAATGATGATGATAGTAATATTTATTGTAACAACAAAATACACAATATAGAAAACAATATTTCAAATAAACATTAGTTGCAAGTTCATCTAATAAACATGTTTGCTTAAATATGGATGAACTGATGGACTAAGTTCGTGGTAAGAAATTATAAATAATTAATTATAAAGAAAATATCTCAACATCAGAGTACAATATTATAAAAAAATAATAAAAAATGAAATAAAGAAAATAATATTATTATTTTCATTTTTTTTGTAGTTGTTGAAAAATTATAAAAATTAGCTAAATGTGTATAGTATTTGCGTGATAAAAAAAAATACCTCTAATTATTGATCTCGAAGCTCGGAAATTAGTTTGATTTCCTAATAAGATTACTTAAGATGTATGTATGTTATATAAATTTTAATCTATAACCTGAACAATTCCAAATTAAAGAGGAAGGTATGCGTAGAATAATATACTATTTATTATTATTAAATTAACGACAATAAAATTGTACATGATAAATAGTCCTCGGTATTCTATAGTAATAGAATGTTTAAGCACATTTATAATTATTTGTATTCAATAAAATAAACAATTAATTTTTTATTGTTGATAAAAATCACAGTAATTATATTATGATAGTATATTCTAATTTAAGTTTGTGTTTTGTGGAAATCTATCAAATGGTACTGTATAATGTACTCGTATGTCTATTGTCTTTGATGTATAAAAAAATTGTACTATTTGAATATCATTTTGTCATTTAAATACCTACATAGAACTGCGTGCAAAATGTAAACCACATGTTATGTTAATATCATACTCGACATGTATAATAGAATTTAGATACCGTTGTTCTAATACATCCTAAGGCCATATACGACCATGCTTGAATAAAACAAAAATTATTACCTTTAAACATAATATTTACAAAATTGTTCATGTGTTTATTAACATCAATTATACTATTCCATATTATGGTTTGTGGAAGGTTGTAAAACAACGAAAGGTTATCAACTATGCTCATCAAGTTCAAAACAAAATTACATTTCGCTTGTGTGATTAAACATTAAACAATATATTATTATAGGCTGTATAGCTTGCATGTAAGTAAACAATACAGTAAACAAGATATAATAGATACCAAAATTTTCGCGTTCGTCAAAAGATAATAAAAATGTATGGCATAGTAAAAATAAACATTAAAATTTCTTTTTGAAAAACTTTTCATACTGCCTATTGATGACCTGGTTAAATTCCATAGTCATTTAAATATAATACTAACTTTTCAACAGATAACCGCACCTACACAAGACGTAGGTATATTAGACACCTATTACTCTAATTCGTAATTATAACAATAAAATCACATATTATGGTCACAATATTATTTGAGAATGTAAAAAATAATAAAGTTTTAACCTATAATATTGTTTCAATTTATATTAGGTATAGATAACTTGGTATTTGTTTACTTATACATAGTATATTAAGCGATTCACGTAACCGTGTGCCACGTGGTGTAATTAATCCACACATTTATCGACACGTGTGATTTAAACAAGATATTATATACAGATAATTTGTTGGAATAACACGATCTCGTTTGGTTTATAAGACCTATGACCTTAACCGTTTTGTTTCTGCTGTCCCTATCGGGTCATTTGAATCCAATGACCACGACACAGATACTTAGATAATATTATACGACTTACCGTATTTTAGTATAAACCTATATTTTACAATATTACATGGAATATTATAATATATTAGCAAGATAATTTACTAACAAGCTCACCCTATTATTTTTTTTTCCTTAATAATTATTTCATTTGTTAAAATCCAAATTTTTAGATTTGTTACCAACGTGATTTAAGAAGTGTCCATTGGTAAAACTTTTATTTTTAAACGAGATTCGTTCTTCTTTTTTTTATTATAATTTATTAAACAGATAATTCTATAGATTTAAATTTAAAATTCACACGAATAGTTTTTTTTTTGAACGTTGTGTACTAATGAGATAATATAATAAGAAATATAAAGACTACTGTGATTTGAAAATTATAATAATTAATATAAATTTATAATATAACTTGTAAAAAATTTTGGGTAGCTATAATAAATACTAGATTCAATAATACATGATATATTTTATATTTTTCTAAAACCATTTTTAAGAATCATTATCCTTAGTGAATACATTTGTGTGACTAATATTTTTCATTCGTTCACATTTCAATGAAATTATAGATATTTTAATTTTTAGAAAACTAGTAAAGTAATAATTCACAATGTCAAAGCGTGGTTCTCATTTAAAAGATAAAATTTGTATCATTATTGATACTCTTTATAAACGCAATTTGAGTATTTTAAAATATAGGCTTTAAGTGTAACTTTAAATTTCATCATTTCAATAAAATCATTATTAGAGGATCAATACGATTGATTATTAAGCATGCTTGGTGTATATATAATCACTATTATGATAAAATTATCATAATTTAATAATATTTACAATATAATGGCGAAAAGTCACGATTTTGCGCCAAATTGTATTTATATGCCTCCCACTGAACACTGCATATAAAACTAAGTAGTAAAAAATAATTACAAAAATTAATGGAAAATGGTTAGAGAATCATACTTCGCTGTTTCAAATGACTATTGTGTATTACATTATTATCATAACAATTTATATTATTATTATTTTTATATTGGTATATAGACTCAAGGTTGAGATATAAACGTAGTGTATAATTTTTTAGCCATTTATAACAACAAACTTAACGAGTCGTTTATTGTTGCAATAGTGTAATGTAATTTCGAATTTGTTGAAAAATAAATAGATTTATTTTCTTAACGTGTTTCAATCACTATTATCTAGATATTGAACAAATAACATTTTTTTTTAAATTACACCTAATATTAACTTGAAGGGTTTTCTCATCATAGGTATAATTATTGAATTTCCGTAGTAAATTTTCTTTGAAGATGCAAGACGTGTGAAAATTAAAATTAAAAATCTTAACTATTATAATCATACTCGTGCCTAACTTATAATTAATTATATTTAAAAACGTTTTATAACACTGCCACTATTATTTTATAATATATTATATGTATTATATCTGATGCAATAATAAACATTAAGTATTTATGTATGTATAAGTACTGCGTGCTATTTTTATATACCTACATAGCATGCACAATCATAATATGGCAAGGTCTGACGTTTCCTGGAAATGTCGGACATAGGTAATACACATTATTTATATTACTGCTGCGGTGGCGGCTTAAGCACCCCTTCTTCACTGGAGACTATAACTCTTGTCGTCCGTATCGTAAATCCTTCCGGTTTCCAAAAGAAATATGCAAATCCACGACCCGACCGGACGGCCGTGAGGCGTGGACGAGAGGACGTAACAGGTCGACCGGGCTTTGCAGCAGCAGATAAGTCTATACAGGCGTATTCGTTGGGATACTTCATTATTAGAGCTGCCCACGCGCTATTAAAATGGCTCTTAAAGTCTTAAATAGCCGACAGCGCATATTATTATCATAGCTTCATTACCTGCGTAATGGTTCAATGCGTGAGCTTTCCTCTTGCTACCTGCTATTTATACTCGTACTACTAGCAGCGAACCACTGCAAGGACGCGTTGTTATAATAAGAGTGCCTACGTTTGCGCATGACGCGAAAACTTACCCCGAACGATCGTCATAGAATATCGTGCGTACAACACAACGTAAATCATATTATAATTTAATCGATTTTTATTTTGTATTTTCACACGACCCGGCGTATTGTCTGCCTCACTAATCGACTGCCGGCAATCTCGTTGATCGCGCGATCCGATGGACAGAAATGCCGCGTCGAAAATACAATGTAAATAATATTACATCGAATCAAAAAAGTCGTCTAAACGCAATATTATCATACGATGAAATCGCTTATATAATAATATACAATAGGTTATATACCTCGTGATGCTAGTCGATGTATAGGTACTGCCTCAGTCGCTCTTCCGGTTCCGGTCAGCAATACCGTGATATTATTATGTAACTATTGCTGTTATCGTTACTCAGAGATATTTTAAACGATCGCAACTTATCGAAGGCGGACTCTTGTGCGACTTTCGTGTCCATGTGTGTGATCCACAGTGATAATATTATGATATTTCAACGTTCGTTTTCCAGGCGCGACCACACGTATACCGGCGTTATAATGTGCTCGTCCGTGTACAGCGCACCGTTGTTATATTGTTATACCAACACGCGAGATATGCAATTTTCCGAGTGCATATAAAATATGTAAAAAAACGAACAACAATAATTTTATACAGATAAACGAAACCGAACGGATGTAACGACAAAACCGCACTCGTGCACACTACACAAACGCGCTCGCAAATGGCTATGGGCAGACTTTTTAGTTTTCGGCATAATATTATTATTATTATTATTATTATTATTATCATCAACGGCGTCGTTGTCGCTGTCGTCGGTGGTGTATGAGGAGGAGGAGGAATCAAATAAACTGCAGGCGTCTATGATATACGCTACCGTGTGCCGATGGCTGTGCTCGCGGTGGTATAATACGCGAAACCGCTTGCGTTTAACACTTTCTTCAGACACCGCGTTTTTCCATTGTTATTATTGTTACTATTACTATATTGTTGTCATTATATTTTATGTATTACATTGGGTTATCATAGTGGGAGACTCTGTGGCAGTGGTTCGAAACGGATACGCCGAAATAAACAGCCACCGTTTTAGAACGCGTAACGTTATTCTACAACGCACTTACAATAATAACAATATAATATATTGTATATAAATTATCACTATAGGAGATTTAGTCAAATTTTAAGGGAGTTAATATTTAAATAATTAAATAAATTGACATAATCGTCCCCGTACACCTGTGACCTATCGATGTTTTGAATAGTTTCCCCCTTTTCATAAACATTATTACCTGCCCATAAAGTGATTATAATAGAGCAGTTATTAATAAAATAATAAGCTGCATAATACAACAGAAAAACTAAAAAATGTGATAAACTTTTCTATTTTTATTGAATATTTTTAATAAAATATACTATAAAGACGGTTGTGCTGTGACCTACTAACATAAAACAAAGTAAGACATAAGCCGCACCGCACTTCGTGGGCATGACGATTCTTTAACCCGTTCGTTTGCAATAAAATCATTATATAGCTAACATCAAATTATTCAAATTTATTTGTTAATGAAAAACAGGATGTGGAAAAACTGTTAAGTTAAAAAAGTTTAAGCAGATAAAATGTTTTTATATCCGGTATGAAACGGTTCGAACTAAAGATAAAAATTATTTACCACAAAAATAAACTAAAATAGATTTAAATTAAAAAAAAAAAAAATAATAATAATACGTCGAAGAATTGTTCAATTAGTGTATGTTTTTAGTTTTTTACTATATAATTTATAGATATTTCTCAAATATCAAACTCGTCAAATTTTTTGGGAGGCTTAAGAATTATTTTAGTAATTTTTTGTAAAAATAATATTATTTACTATTTATTACAATTAAATAAACAAATATTTTTAGTTGTCTCTGACGATTTTGCTAGTTACTATATTCATTTTTTATTATGTAATCATAATAAAATATGTCATAATTATGTTATATTTTTACGAAATAATAATAATATCACTTTCAGTATTGACTTCACGTGTACGTATTTGGTAGACGGGCACATTTAAATAAAGGATAGTGTAATGCTATAATATTACCATTACATATTGTGTGATGGTACTAGCGAAGAGACTGTCGGCTATAGCACGTATAGGTAGCCGGTACATAATAAAGGTAAAAGTCTCACTAAATTCGAAACCAAATATAATGCGATCACGGCCCCTTCTTCTCATTCAAACTAAAAAAAAAAAAAAATATACTATACATAATGATAAGTGACATCAATGTTCAGAAGCCACGATTTTTATTGTACAAATCGTATCCGTGTCAATAGAATTATGGCCTGGAAAAAAAGCGTGCACAGTGATCAAATCACAACTTAACTCTAAAACTCGTATGCCTATTATGTTTAATGAGTCTATTTCATTCGTACCTTCATAATGTGCTGTGTGACGTGTGTGTATTATTTCCAAACAATATATACCTATTTCAAATGAGATGTATACAGTTTAAAATATATTATAAAAATATATGTTACCTGTAAATTCACTGTAAGCGTGCTAGCAAATAGTACCGAGTGTGAATTTTGTTCACTATAAACTGTTAAGTCGACGTTTATCGTTTATTACTAATTTTTTTATTTAATCGATGATATAGTCGAATTCGCTTATAATGATGCCGTTTACAACGATATTTCGGGTAAAACGATTCTAAGAAATGTATTTGGTTGGTTTTTATCTTATGTGTTGTTACATTTTATAATCCGGATATAACGAAGTTTGGTTATAACGATCAGATTCTCTTGATCCCTTGAAGATCGTAACAAGCGAATTGACTGTACATTCAAATATCTACGCCACCTAAACGTGTCAATTAAAAGTTTTATGGACGTTTCAGGGTATAATCCAGGTATTTGGCAGTGTTTTTACCTCTGAAATCGAGTTAGATTTATTTCAGGAATCAATTCAGCGTAGAATTGCAATAATACAATTTTTAAATATGTCAATCATATATATATAGACAGGTATAGTATATACAAAAACCGTTCTTTGTATTTTTTCACTATTTCCTTACACCTGCTTGCATCATTTCTTGGACAAAAAAATAACTGAAAGCTTGAAATGAAAAATATAGGTACTAGGTAATAATTTTATCAACAAAAAAAATATTTATAATTAATAAATAGGTATACGAGTTTACCGTATACGCATTATTTTATAATAATAAACGTTCGTTACTTCGTGAAGCCCATTTCTCAGTTTAGTAAATACAATACAATTGAGAATGAATGAAAATGAAAATAAAATAATAACGAATTATATGAAACAAGAATCTTAGTTACATAATATATAGTAACTAAACATAAATCATAATAGATAAGTCTTCGATTAATTTAATAACTTGCACTCCTTAAAATATTATCTAACGTCTAAACCATTAACTTTTATAGGTTAGGTTAGTTTGTTCTACAAATATATAAGCAATCAACGTAAAACGTATTATTGTGCTTTTTCAGATGTTCTTAGATATTTCAGAGAACGGTTTAATGGGACTAGGTAAATTGGGTCATTGAAAATGTCTGTTTGTTTTGAAAGCAGAAAATTGAGTCTTGTGTATAAAAGGTAGGTAATAACTATTAGGTTAGTAACTGGGTCCCGACTATAAGCCCACTTAATTGCCTAGCTATTCAAACCTTTCATGCGTACTTCTATTTGAACATGCTGTAAAGAGTTGTGCGCAATATCAATTAACATTTTATCTTAATGTAGTATTTATTGACTTTGAGATTACTATATATACGGCTGCAAAACTTATTTAGCCTAAAATCGATATAGAAAGATGCTGTTTCCATTTAGGATGAAAGTGGTAAAAAAAAATTCAAAATCTTGGTTTAATAAACTCATAAAAAAGTTCTAAACACTGTAAAAAGCAATTAAAAAAAAAAAAATTTGGTTTGCATTCTTAAGATCTGAATGTTTTGTAGAAGATTTGATGACTATACAATCAAATGGTAAGAAAATACAGTTGTTTTTTGATTATAAACTAGACACTTATGCCTCACCTGATTTTAAATTTCCCCCAAATATTTGCTCTGAATTTGCAGCTACCATCGTGCGTTTAACAAATAGTTATGAATAATATCATTCTCGATTAAACTGGCGCTTTTACAGCCCTTATCCAAATATTTTTAATTTTATTGACGAACTATAAGAAGTACAGTTAATAGACGCATATAAAATTACAAAACACAAAACAAAAAGAAAAGTACGCTTGATAAAGAATAACACTTAAGGGAACAAACAAAAAAATACACTATTAATATGAAAATCCAATAAGACTGAATACTTAACATTGTTTTTACCGAATACATAATATTATTTTTAAAAAACACATGCATTTTAATTGAATTATTATAATAGAAATTACATTTATTTTTTAATTTATACTATAATTATAAAATTTTACTTCTAATAAAGATTATTAGATATTAAAAAAATAGAATAAAGTACTAACATTTTTATCCGAGACTATTAATTTGTACCTATAAATACCCTTTTTCCCCCGGAACTCAATTTATTAAAATAATTAATTTCACATTTGGGATCCGATTTGAAAATCCTAGGAATTTTCGGGATTGCCATCATTTTACATGGTTAGTATATTTATAATTAATAATTAGTTATTTTGTATTTTATAATTGTTATTGAAATTAGGTACATGTCTAGATAGTATGATATTATTGATAATTAGTATTTTTTTTCAATATTCATCAATTACGTTCGACTCTCTCTCTCTCTATATATATATATATATATATATATATATACAATATACATTATGTACAATATTAAGTATTATTATGCATCGCCCAAAACCTAATAAGCAACAACCATATTTTACTTAGGCACAGAAATTAAACCACAAATAAATAAATAGAACTTGGTCATTAAATATGCGTGAGTATATTATACACCTACAGCTGCGTTTAATAGATATGATCAATTAGTATGTGTAACATGGTCATGTACTGTGAAGAGTCTACCAGGTGTACCTGTTAAGTGTAGTGTGACATAAAATTTGTTTAAACAGATAATAGGATGAAATATTACTATATTATACCTATATGGCCATACATATTTAATATTTATATATAACAATTGCTTAATATCATAGTGTGTATGTCTCGTCGATTTCGCTAAAAATAAAAACTGGCTAAACATTACAATTCGTTTGACCTAATAAGTGTATACGTACACAGTTAAATTGTATGTAACGTACCTATGTATAAGTACTTTATAATTTACTGTTCTGTTAGTTTATTGGTTTACAAACTTCTGATAAGCTGGTAGGTATTATAAAAATGTTTTGATAAAAAAAAAAAAAAATACAAATAGCATTTTAACATTTATTTCTCGTTGACGGATAGATAACCCCTAAAATATATTAATTACATAGGCATTGAGTATAGGTATTACCCTACCTAGTTCAGTTCGAGAAAAAAATCGTTTGAAAAAAATGCCTGCAAATGTGATTCGAGGACATTAATTTAACGAAAAGGTGTCTGAACACACTGCACAAAACACGAATCCACGACGCCCCTGCTACAAAAAAAAAAAAAAAAAACACTGCGTTTTTACGTAACGACCACGCGCAAAATGTTATACGCTCCGTTGTTCCGACACATTGAACGTAATAAGGTCGCATACAAAAACGTTTCCACAGAATAAATATGTGCTTACATTATGCATA